GGTACCATGCGCTCTTGCGTTTATGTGGGGAGCTCTTTCATCAGACCTTCTCCCCCACCTATTCTTTAAGACTCTGTGCAGGAGTCTGTGACTCCAGGAAGTTTCCCTGACTTCTCAGTTCAGCTTGGGTGTCCCTCCTTTGTGTTCTTATATTTTAATTGTTTATTTCTTTTCCTTTCATTCACTTGTACGTGAGTTCCCAGATTGTATCATCATTTCTCCAATTCTGCTACTAGACAACATGCCAGTGATGTAAGTGCCCCATGTGTGTTTGCAGAATCAGTAAATGACATAATTTGAGTCCTTTTCTAATCTCTTGACCTTCCCTGCATTTTCTTTTCTTTTCTTTTTCTTTTTTGAGGCAGACTTTTGCTCTGTTGCCCAGACTGGAGTGTGTTGGCTCAATCTCAGGCTACTTGGGAGACTGAGGCAGGAGAATCACTTGAACCCAGGAGGCAGAGGCTGCACGGAGCTGCACTGAGCCTCCACCTCCTGGGTTCAAGTGATTCTCCTGCCTCAGTCTCCCCAGTAGCTGGGACTACTGCATTTTCATTTCAAGTAATTTATATGGCAGTTTTATAAATAAAGAATAAGAATATTAATCAATATTTGAAGTATGTTGTGAAGTTAAGGTTCTTTAATACTTGATTTTCTTTCATTTTGGTGGGCAAAGTGGAATTAATACATCTTATTTTCATTGAATAAATTTAGGAAGATTTATAAATGTCAGCTTGAAAATAAAAATTGTGTTCATGAATGCTTTTTTGATTAAAGCCTATAAAAATGAGGGAGCAGTTCAGAAGAACAGATGCTAAGAAAAGGCTGAGTGATTTCTGTTGGATGACTGCGTGATGTTGGTGGGTACTGTGACATTTCTATACTTTTAGAGCTATAGTTCAGTAATGTTACCCAAAAGTACGAATTACGACTGAAAGTGTAAGTATTGCTGTTATGGACAAATTGAATTTATGAAAAACTACTTGCATTTGACTACTACAACTGTGCCTTTGTCTGCTAACTTCAGGTACTGCTGAGGCAACTATGAATGATAGAAATGGTAAATTTAAATGCAATAACAGATGCTGAGCAACTTTGACAAGCTGCAAGCCATTGAAACAAGCACTTTTAATGTTGTATTCCTTTTTCAGTCAGAATTGTTTAAGATAACTAGAAAATTGTATGCATTTGGGGCATTTTCTCTACATAGAGTTATTTTTAGCATAAAACATATTTTCACTTGTTAGTTGCCATATAATCTGCATTGAGCAGAATGATTTGTGTTATGTTTCAAACGTTGATTCTCTACTTTGTAAAAGCTGTGCCTACATGTTACCATTACAACTTGTTGAAAAGTAAAATGATTACTCAGTTAATCCGTTCCTACTTCTAAATAATACCAAATATTCTGTTTTATTTTTATCCCCTGCTGACACTAATGTTATCAACAAATTGCTGGAGAATCATATGGTCACAGGTAAAATCTTTGAGATGTATTAAGGATTAGGCAGCTCTCTCGTGATGTTAAAGTTTTACAGGAAGTGTGAAAGGTAAAATGATTTTATATGTTTTTTTTTTTCTCTAAGCTAGCAAGTACATAGTAGGATTGTTAGATAAAATAGCAGATGCCCAAGTTAAGTTTGAATTTCAGATAAATAAGATTGGATTTTAGTATAAATATGTCCCAAGTATGGCATGGGACATACACTAAAAAAGTATTCATTTACTTGAAATTCAAATTTAATTAGCATCCTGTGTTTTTATTTGATAAATCTGGCAGCCCTCTATTAAGGTATAAAGTTTGAAAAACACAGAAGTAATGCAGTGCAAAGTAAGATTGTCTTGGCATCCTTCAGCCTGCCATATCCCACTATCAGTGTCTTTGAAAAAGTTGCAGAATAGTCTATGCTTTTATAAACACACACACATCAGTTTTTACTTACCAAAACAATTGCTGTCCTATTCTTCTGTACAAAGTGTAACAACTTCATACCTTGTTCTGTATCTTCTTTTTTATAAATTCGACAATATATTTTCACCATGTGATTTTTGCGAGATAGTTCGGAAAATAGGGGGTAGTGTGATAAAGTTTCGGCTTTAAAATAAGGGACAGTAGGGTTCAATTCCAAGTTCTCCCACTTACTAGCTGTGTCACCTTGATTAAGACCCCGACCTCTCCTTTTCTCTGTTGTGTTATCTGGAATAATGTGTCAGGCACTGGAGGATATTGTGGGGAGCAAGGTGGTCAGAGTCCTCACACGCATGATGGAGCGTGGATAAACTGCACTTGCCTAGCACTCTGGTGCCTAACAGATACTGAATTCATTGAGCTGTTACTGATATGTCTTGTGGTTCTAAAAGCTAAGGCTGTTGGAACAGATTTTAGGTTCAGTTTTTATAACCAAATAGTGATATAGCCAAAAGCAGGATACATGAACAGCAACTAGAGGGAAACTGGTAATTTTTCTGTGCCAGATTTGAATACAGTTGTCCCACCCCTTGGAACGTGGGGGATACATTCCAAGACCCCCAGTAGTTGCCTGAAACCAAACATAGTACCTTACCCCATATGTACAGGCCTGTTATTCTATTGAATTTTGCCTTATTGTGCTTTGCAGATACTGAATTTTTTTAAACAAATTGATGGTTTATGGCAACTCTGTGTCAAGCAAGTCTATTGGTGCCATTTTTTTTTCCAACAGCATGCGCTTACTTTGTGTGTGTCACGTTTTGTTAATTCTTACAATATTTCGTGCCCTTTATTATTCTTAACATCTGTTATGGTGATCTGTGATCAGTAATCTTTGATGTTGCCATTTTAATTATTTTGGGGTGCTGCAGCCCTGCACATTTAAGATGGCGAACTTAATAAATGTTGCACATTTTCCAACTGCTCCAACAACTGGTCGTTCCCATTCTCTTTCCCTCTTCTGAGGCCTCTCTATTCCCTGACACAGAGCAGTATTAAAATTAGGCTGTTCAGTGTTCAAGTGAAGGGAAGAGTTTCATGCCTCTCACTTTAAATGAAAAGCTAGAAATAATTAAGTTTAGTGAAGAAGACATGTTGAAAGTAGAGATAGACTGAAAGCTAGGTGTATTGTGCCAAATGGTCAAGTTGTGAATGCAAAGGAAAAGGTCTTGAAGGAAATTAAAAGAGCTTCTCCAGTGACCACATGTAAAGCAAAACAGCCTTATTGTTGATATGGAGAAAGTTGTAATGATCTGGATAGAAAATCAAATTAGCCACAACATTCCCTTAAGCCAAAACCTAATACAGAGCAAAACCCTAACACTCTTCAGTTCTGTGAAGGCTGAGAGAGGTGAGGGAGCTGCAGAAAAAAAGTTGGAAGCTAGCAGAGGTTGGTTCATGAGGCTTAATGAGAGAAGCCATCTGTATGACATAAAAGTGCAAGGTGAAGCAGCAAGTGCTAATGTAGAGGCTTCAGAAGGCTATCCAGAAGATCTAGCTAAGATCATTAATGAAGGTGGCTGCCCTAAACAACAGATTGTTAATGTAGATGGAACAGCTTTATATTGAAAGAAGAGGCTATCAGGGACTTAAATAGGAGTAGTCAATGTCTAGCTTCAAAGCTTTAAAGAGACTGACTCTCTCATTAGGAGCTAATGCAACTGGTGATGTCAAATTGAAGCCAGTGCTTATTTACCATTTCCAAAAGTTTTGGACCCTTAAGAATTATGCCAAATCAGCTGTGCCTGTGTTCTCTGTGAATGGAAAAAGAAAGCCTGGATAACAGCACATCTGTTTATAGCATGGTTTACTGAATGCTTTAAGCCCACTATTGAGACCTACTGCTCAGAAAAAGGTTCTTTTAAAATACATTACTGTTCATTGACAAGACACCTGGTTATCCAAGAGCTCTGATAGAGTTTTACAAAGAGATGAATGTTGTTTTCATGTCGCTAACGCAACATCCATTCTGCAGTCCCTGGACCACAGAGTAATTTTGACTTTCAAGTCTTATTATTGAAAAAATACATTTTGTAAAGTTATAGCTTCTGTACTTAATTATTCCTCTGCTAGATTAGGGCAAAGTAAATGGAAAACTTTCTGGAAAGGATTGACCAGTTTAGATGCCATTAAGATATTTGTAATTCATGGGAGGAAGTCAAAATACCAACATTAGCAGGAGTTTGGAGGAAGTTGATTCTAAAACTCTTATGAATAATGCTGAGGGTTCAAGACTTCAGTGGAAGAAGTCACAGAAGATGTGGTACAAATAGCAAGAGAACTGGAATTTCAAATGGAGTCTGAAGATGTGACTGAATTGCTGTACTCTCATGATAAAGTTTGAATGAATGAGGAGTTGCTTTTTATGGATGAGTAAAGAAAGTGGTTTCTTGAGATGAAATGTATGCCTGGTGAAGATGTGAACATCGTTGAAATGAAAAAAAGGATTGAGGCTATTACATAATCTTCGTTAATAAAGTAGGAGCAGGATTTGAGAGGTTCTGTTGTGGGTAAAATGCTATCAAACAGCATCCCATGCTACAGAGAAATCTTTCATGAAAGGAAGAATCAATGTGGCAAAGCTCATTGTTGATTTATTTTCAGAAATTGTCACAGCAACCCCAGCCTTCAGCAGCCACCACCCGTCAGTCAGCAGCCATCAGTACAAAGGCGAGACTCTCCGCCAGCACAAAGACTATGACTCACTGAAGTCTCAGATGATCACTAGCATTTTTTGACAGTAAACTATTTTTTAATAAAGGTGTATAGAGTGTTTTCCTAGACATAATGCTGTTGCACATTTAATAGACTACAGTGTAGTGTAAACATAACTTTTGTACTCACTGGGAAACCAAAAAATTCGTGTGACCCCTTTTATTGAGAGATTCACTTTATTGCAGTGGTCTGGAACTGATCCTACAATATCTCTGAGGTATGCTGTTTTTTTTTAATTTTTATAAATACATACCTATGATAAAGTTTAATTTACAGATTAAGCTCAATAAGAGATTAACAACAACTAATAATAAAATAGAACAATTACAACAATATACTGTGTATTCTTAATTCTCTTTGTGTTGAGGGATTTAGTACCTTGAAATGTAAAAGCAGTGTTTTTGAATATACGTTGAATATCAATTTAAAGAGGCTTCTTAAGGGTTTTTCTTAAAATCTTGGATTTTAAAAGTGATTTGTTTAAAGATGTATGGACATTAACATTACATAAAAGGTGAATATTCCTGATCTTTCTTTGATAGACCCACTGCTGGTTTCTAACATATGTATTTCTGACTTCTTCATACCTTGTCTGAACAGTTGGCTGATTTGACTATCTAAAGCAGTCTATTCCATTTCAGACTTCATTCATTTTGGGTCTCTATTTCTTCCTTTGGTTTCACTTTATGTAGGGCATGGTCTGTTTGAACTTGTAAACAGGGAAGTCGAATCTTCCTGCTTTCTAGAGGCAGCATATTGTAAAAATTAAATTATGGACTCTGGAGCTAGATGGCTTGTGTTAAGATCCTTGCTCTATCACTTAGTAGTGGTGTGGACTTAGACGAGTTACTTAACCTGTCTGTACCTCATTTTCCTTGTTTATAAAGTGAGTGAATTGTGTAAGTATTAAAGGACTTAATTGGAAGCATGATTCGAATAGTACCTAGCATGTGGTAGGTGCTGTGTGTTTGCTGTTATCATTTCTGCTTCTGTTTCAGCATTAGCGCTGATCTCCTTCTTATCATATCCATGGCTCATCTCTTTTCTGCCTCTCTGATTCCTTATTGTCACTGCTTAGCATGAATTGTCCAGACAAAAAAAAAAAAAGAAAAAGAAAAAAGAAAATCCCTCAGAACTTGGCATTCTTCTGACATGTTGGATCTTGTTTAAGTCATGCCAGTTGGCCATGACCCACTGTTATCACTCAGGTATCCTTAAGTTTCCATATAGTATTTAAATGGGCAAAAAGGGAAAGGAAATGGTAGGGTGGTGAAAAGGTGACAAGAGGAATTCATGGCTGCAATTTGAAGGGAGTGGACTCAATCTATCTCAAAAATTTTGTGATTATAAATGAATTTGTTTATAATTAGAACTGAATCCTCAGGACAGGTGTATCAGGCACAGAAAGGAACAAGTTTTTAAAAATTCTTATCTTTTTGTCGGGATTGCTAATGGTGAAATCCCCTGAAAAATCTCAAAAAAAGCTATGCATTTATTTTAGGGACATCCAAGCATAGAAAAGAAACTCTGAAACTGTAATTTTAAAAAATCATTGAAATACAAAAGAGTAGAGCTCTCTTATCTGGGAGCTATTTTGTTTTTTTTTTTTAACCTTTGTGTAATTTTTTGGGGAAGAAAAAGTAATTCTATTTTACTGTAACCGACTTGTAGATGAACTTTCGGACAGCAGTGTTTTTCTCAATTAGGAACTGCCTACGCTGTACTTTCTCTGCAGACTTCTCATAAATCAGTGAGCTTCTAAATCCGAGGTCTACCTCCCATGTATGTCAGGAACACTGTCTATCTTTAGAATTAATTTTTCATGTGCATACCAAACACATGTATAATTTTATCCTTTCAAAACGTTATAAACATCATTCATTTATAAATAGAGACTCAGATTCAGAAAAAGATAAGTGATTTAACAAGGGCATATAGCTAGTTGAAATTTAAATTCAGGTCATCAGACTCTAGTCCATGCTTTTTTATTGCTATCATGCTTCTTCCTGGGTGATTAAATATACTTTTGTAGCCCTGGGCTTCCTTATATTGGGGTATCTTTATTCAGGCAATTCTCCTGGCTCAGCCTCTTGGAGCAGCTGGGACTACAGTCACATGCACCACGCCCAGCTAATTTTTGTATTTGTGCTAGAGACGGGTTTTCACCATGTTGGCCAGGCTGGTCTCGAACTCCTGAACTCAAGTTGTTTGCTGGGATTACAGGCGTGAGCCACCATGCCCAGCCCTATTTTTTCTGGAGTTGGGAGGGGACAGAGTCTCGCTTTGTTGCCAGGCTGGAATGCTGTGGCACGATCTTGGCTCACTGCAACCTCCGCCTCCCTGGTTCAAGTGATTCTCCTGTCTCAGACTCCTGAGTAGCTGGGATTATAGGCATGTTCTACCACACCCAGCTCAGTTTTGTATTTTTAGTAGAGTCGGGGTTTCACCATGTTGGCCAGGATGGTCTCGATCTCCTGACCTCGTGATTCACCCCCCCCTCAGCCTCCCAAAGTGCTGGGATTACAGGCGTGAGCCACCATGCCTGGCCTATTTTTGTGTTTTAATTACCAGAAGTTAATTGTTTTTGAGGCGGGGTGGCTAATAGTAGGCTGTTTTGTGAAGGAGTATTATATTCTCCTTGTAAATAAGAGTAAAAAAGTCACCAATTTATTTGTTAATATTACCCTATATTAGGCCTCATGAAATAATGTATTGCTTGGCATTGGAATTCCTATCTATGTGGAATATATTGACTCAGCATTAATCCTGAATAAATGTATCATAGTTACAAGTTATGCTATGAGCTGGAAATTGGCATATTTTATCTCATTTTTCAAAATATACCCAATGAGTAAGTGTGTTTTAAAAGAAACAGATGTTGAAATGATAGGTCCCTTGCTCAAGGCCACACTTCTATTTAGTTTTCAATTCCAGTTCAGAGCCAGTATCCTCTTTTCTTGACACAATGACACTTTTTAAAACAAGTGCCAGTAGTTAAACGATTTGACATTTGAAATGGAGTTGATGTTTCAAATAGTATATTCTAAATTGGGATAAAACAAGTCAATACATACTGTTCTCTGTTATCACACAGAGCTAATTGCAGGCATTGATGTTTTATAGATCTGCTCATCTACATCACACACTTCCTTTTTAGGCAAATGAATTTTGTCTTAAAGAGGTAACAGGAGGCAACTTGTTCTTTCTAAGAGAAATCCCATTTTATCTTCCAGATGAAAAATGAGAATGTGTGGTGGTAGATTTCTTTTTTCTATTGAAGGAATGACTGACTGACTGTCTTCTTCATGATTCAGGGTTTTCTGTGAGGCAGAAGAGAGATGGAACTATGGGGATAGTTGTGCAGATTTGTTTGGCAGCAAAGGCTCAAGATGGATTAGTGACCTGGATGTTAGCATTGCAGATCTGTATCCAGTACTTAAAAGAATCTAGTTAAGTATTCTTAGAGAAAGATGAGATGTGTGGATTGAAGGAGTTGAGAAGATTTCTTTGAATGGGAAAGAGCAGAACATTATAGTCAGGAGAGTATTTTGAGAACTTTTGAAAAATTTAACACTGTATGCTCCCTTTTGTTCAGTTTTTCATCCATAATTTAATATATTATCTTCCAGTAATTCAGGTACTGCTTGAGTGTCACATTCATTTCTTTTTTTCTTTTCTTTTTTTTTTTTGAGATGGAGTCTTGTTCTGTGGCCCAGGCTGGAGTGCCATGGCATGATCACGGCTCAGCACAACCACCGCTTCCTGGGTTCAAGTGATTCCCCTGCCTCAGCATCCTGAGTAGCTGGGATTACAGGTGTGCACTACCACACCCGGCTAGTTTTTATATTTTTAACAGAGTCGGGGCTTCACCATGTTGGCCAGGCTGATCTCAAACTCCTGACCTCAAGTGACGCACCCACCTTGGCTTCCCCAAGTGCTGGGATTACAGGTGTGAGCCACCGCGCCCAGCCCACAGTTCATTTCTAATAGGTATGCGTGCATTGTCTCCTCAGTTAGGGGTATGAGCCTTTGAGGGCAGGATCACATTTTCTACTTTTTATGTTTTTTGCCATAGAATTTCTTATGTGGAGTTAAGGAAGCTTCTTATTCTACACTTAAAGATCTGTAAGTGAATACAAGATTATAGTGGTCTGTATTGTAAGTGGAACTTCTTATGGAAATATGTTTGAAACTTCTGCCGCCTTATTTAAAACAGAATTTATGTCTTTTACCTTATGCAAGTATTATGGGTAAATATATACATAGAAGATAATTTTGAATAAGTCCTAAAATGATTATTGTCTATAAAGAGAACTATCTTAAGTTGTTATCAACAAGATTTTAACGGTCAAAAGAATTTGAGTTGTATCGAGTGTTTTTTAGAGTATTTAGCTTTAGAATATAAAGTTCTGATAAAATATAACCATTGTATTTTATTTCTTTTTTGCACAGAGTTCCATTTTAATTGCTGTTAATCATTTTAGAGAAGAACACTGAACTTTGAAAAAAATGTTAGAAGCCATTGGTAAGACTTATTCTTTTCTGCCTACTTTTATAAGAATTGTAACTCCTCCCATTGGGATTTTTGACATATGGTGTGTTTAACATAGCAGGATTCTGTCTATAGTATCTAGATTTAAAAAGTTTTTACCTACTAACATTGTACTAAGGTAATATGTTTCTGTATTTGGACAGTTTCATCTGAAGTATTATAAAAAACACATTACATATAAGCAAAAATTAAAAACATATGAGATATTCTTCCAGTTATGGGTTTTAATAAAGCTTAAAGTAAGCCCAATTCTGATTTATGAGCCCAATTCTGGTTAATATCTATTTCTGAAAAGCATTTGGAATTTTAGCAGTATTTTTAATACTGAAAGATGATACTACTTTTACTTGTGGCAGGTGAAGTACTACTGAGCTCTTGCTATTAATTGATAAAGAGAAAAATGTTACTTAGTCTTATGCTTTAAGGCAGTTTAATTTCTACATGAGATAATTTAGGTCGAAATATCTACATTTCCCAGACTCATGTGTTAATAATTTGTTTTTCCCACTGCTCTTTAGTTTTAAAGAAACTAGTTAGTAGAACCATTTATAGCTAGATATATCAGGTATGGCACAATACATGCAATTATCTGACACTCTAGTTCCTTACCCTATTCCAGGTAACTCTTTGGGTATGACTAAATTGAAAGTGTTTGGATTTCACTCTGGCACCTTAATCATTATGGCAGATACCTTGACGTCGGTGGGTTTTGAGGGATAGAGTGAGAGTCAGTGGCAGTAATGGGAGAAGTACCTGTTTTTGTGATCATGGGGATCTCTATGATGGCTTTTGTTCCTGGTACTGTGCTGGTAATGAAAATGTATGGATGTACATTTCCTTCACTTCCCATTTTATACTAAACCAATGCTGTAAAGACTCCTAGTCCACATAGGAAAGTTCTTAATAGGAAAGTGGAAAGGAAAGGGCAAATACAGAATTATTTAAACCATTGTTTTCTAGTCTTTATTTTGTTTTGTGCTGAGTTGCACACGTTCCAAATAATTGATGTGGAAATTAATATTAGATTTGTATTCTGAGATACCATGGGACATATAACCCAGAATAAGATGCTCATGTGTATCTTTATCATTATTTGTTTTTAAAATTCTGCATATGAGTAAATATTGTTTGTTTAAGTTTGTGTGTGTGTGTGAACTCATGATCAACATCAATTCATGTTTTAATCACCCTATTTCTTTGCAATTTCAGATTTGGTGCTATAGAAAGTGTCTGTGGTGATGATTCCATTTTTTTTTTTTTTTTTTTTTGAGATGGAGTCTCACTCACTCTGTCGCCCAGGCTGGAGTGTAGTGGTATGATCTCGGCTCACTGCAACTTCCACCTCCCGGGTTCAAGGGATTTTCTTGCCTCAGCCTCCTGAGTAGCTGGGATTACAGGCATATGCCATCATGCCCATCTAATTTTTGTATTTTTAGTAGAGACGAGGTTTTACCATGTTGACCAGGCTGGTCTCAAACTCCTGAGCTCAAGTAATCCACCCGCCTCAGCCTCCCAAACTGCTGGGATTATAGGCATGAGCCACCGTGCCCCGTCGATTCCCCCTTTTTATCATTCCTGGGATATGACAAATATGTTTAAATAGATATACTTGTTACCATGATGAATCTAAGTAATACATCTGAACAATCTCCATTAAAAAAAAGTTTTGGCTTCACTTATAAGAGTGTATAAGTGTATGTGTTTGTGTTTCAGGGAAAGGTTTTTAACTATTATTTGTGGTAGAAACTCTGGCGTAAGTATGATTGTAAGACACTAGGACTAGTAGGACATAATTACTGAATATATTTACTTTTTGCAGCTTTGTGCCTGATTTGTATGGTGTTCAGTAATTATTTGTATTGATTTGCTTTGAAGCGAATATAATACGCTATTTTATTTGCTATTTAATTTTGGAGAAAGATATTTAAAGTATTAAAAAGTACTCAGGGCCGGGCGCAGTGGCTGAAGCCTGTAATCCCAGAACTTTGGGAGGCCGAGACGGGCGGATCACGAGGTCAGGAGATCAAGACCATCCTGGCTAACACGGTGAAACCCCGTCTCTACTAAAAAATACAAAAATCTAGCCGGGCGAGGTGGCGGGCGCCTGTAGTCCCAGCTACTCAGGAGGCTGAGGCAGGAGAATGGCGTAAACCCAGGAGGCGGAACTTGCAGTGAGCTGAGATCCCAGCCTGGGCGACAGAGCGAGACTCTGTCTCAAAAAAAAAAAAAAAAGTACTCAGTTTTGTATTTTTTGTATTTTTGTACTCCATTAAAAAATGTCTACTTTCTCTACAGTTTTTGTTGTTGTTGTTGTTGTTTTGAGATGGAGTCTTGCTCTGTCTGCCTGACTGGAGTGCAGTGGCGCGATCTCGGCCCACTGCAACCTCTGCCTCCCAGATTCAAATGATTCTCCTGCCTCAGCCCCCTGAGTAGCTGGGATTATAGGAGTGCACCACCACGCCCGGCTAATTTCTTGTATTTTTAGTAGAGACAGAGTTTCATCATTTTAGCCAGGCTGGTCTCAAACTCTTGAGCTCAAGTGATCCGCCCGCCTCAGCCTCCCAAAGTGCTGGGATTACAGGTGTGAGCCACCGTGTCCGGCCTGCAGTTTTTTATTCAATTTAAAAGAGACAATTTTATGCACTCAATAGAAATAGTTTTAGAATTTCTACTAGATGGAGTCCTCATAGGCTGGACATGTGTCCTTTGAATCCTATTATTGACAAATGCTGCTCTTTGGTATAGACAAAAATCGGGCCCTGCAGGCAGCAGAGCGCTTGCAAACCAAGCTGCGAGAACGTGGGGATGTAGCAAATGAAGACAAACTGAGCCTTCTGAAGTCAGTCCTGCAGAGCCCTCTCTTCAGTCAGATTCTGAGCCTTCAGACTTCTGTACAGCAGCTGAAAGACCAGGTAGGACATCATTCACCCAAGCAGGCGTTCACGACATGGCATAGATCTTGTGAAAGGCTGGTGTTTTTCTGAAAGGCTGATTTTTCTATGTGTTAATGAATAGTTAATGAAGTCATTTAAACCTCCAAATGAGACATTCAGATTCAATGTGGCTTTTTTCCTCCTAGTTATTTTTGTAATGGTTGTTGCTGTATATTGTAGATGATATGACATTGTGTTGAAAGCTGTGTGGATGCTGAAGAATGAGTTTCTACAGGAAAAACGGATGATAAAAATATGTTTAGGATGGTTGGCTGTAGACTTGGTTTCCATCATCACTCAGGCTCATTGTTCATGTGATCGTTCATTCAGATTCGGACATTCAGTATACTTACAAGATTTCAGATAAGCCTGGATTTGCATGTGTAATCATGTGTATGAGGAAGGGAAATCACCTCTATTTTGACAGTAAAAGGAATAATTACATTGTCATCAGTTAGAGGAATTGCAATTCTCACTTCTTTAAAGAGTGTAAGTAGCAATTGCTTCCATGACAGCTCAGATGGTGATAAACATTAGAACTTCTAAATGTAACACAGTGCTTTTTTGTTCTGTAAAAAGTATGAGCATTAAAAAGTCCTAGCATTTATATTAAAATTGAAACATTTCACAATGACAGAATGAAAACTGAAGTCAGATGTTCTTTGAACTTACTTAATTTAATCACCATTTCTATGCTTTAAAAAATATTTTAAAAATGTTTGTTATCTTCAAGGTTTGAAATCAATCTAATTATGCCTTCAATCCAAGTTGGTTTTCATTCTGATGTCTTTAGCATTAATTTAACGGTTATAGATGACTTGCTAGCAAATATTCTGCCTTTTAAGGTTAAAAATGAAACTTGAAGATTAGTTTCATAATTGAGTGAAACAGCTTCAGTTAAAAAAAAAAAACAAAATGTGGCTAATGCGAAAGAACAAAAAGTAATAAGAGAGAATGAATTTGTTTAATGTCATATAACTTCTTTAGATATTTTGTAGCAAAAAAAGTAAATCAAGAAGAATCTTCACAAATACTTTTCTGTAGTAAATTTCTATCTAATGGTTTTAAGTCGTGATCATGAATTTAAAGTGTTTTTGTTATATGCAGTTGTGTTTGTCTCCTTTACAAGTTATTGAAAAGATTGATTTTGTTTTATTTTTTTTTGAGACAGAGTCTCATTCTGTCACCATGGCTGGAGTACAGTGGTACCATCTTGGATCACTGCAGCCTCTATCTCCCTGGTTCAAGAGATTCTCCTGCCCCAGCCTCCCGACTAGCTGGGATTATAGGTGTCCACCACCACATCCAGCTAATTTTTGTATTTTTAGTAGAGATGGGGGTTTCACCATGTTGGCCAGGCCGGTCTCGAACTCCTGACCTCAAATGATCTACCTGCCTCAGCCTCCCAAGGTGCTGGGATTACAGGAGTGAGCCACCACACCTGGCAAGATTGATTTTCAGTACTGGTTTTCAGAATGGATTGGCAAGCTTTTGGAGAAACCAATATCCTGAATAAAAGCATAATTATGTTGTGGAAAATTATCTACTTTTTCAGAGAGTGTAAAGAAGTTGAACAGATATCTTCTATTCTTATTATGTTATGTGAAAACATGATGAGAATGAGAAGAAAAGGTGAAACAAAAAGAGTGCTAGCAAGTGTGTTGGGACATACCACTGGCCCAGTGAGGTGACTTGAAATTTCCCTTGCAGACAGTTTTATATAAAAGGAATAGTATTTGTGCATACAGTGTCCCATGAAAGGAGGGGACAAATAGGCCTGCCTATTAAGCTTGTTTTACCATTTCCATATGGAGGTAGGATATGGGCTCTAAGACTGTTTGGGTCCCACGTGATTCAGATGAAACCTACTTGGAAATTTGTTGAGACTGAGACTAACTACAGCATGATCTTATTATTTTGTTAATGATAGACACTGGTATATTTTAAGACTACAAAAATTGTGAGGTCTGAGAATTCTGTGGGGCATGTCTTACATGTTTTTGGACTTTGGGCTTCTTGGCCACATGTTCATGTACAGTGAAAAACTAATACTGAAAGGGACCAAGAAAAACACCTAGTTTATACCCTGTAGATTACAGTGGCTTAGAGAGGTTAAGTGACTTGATTATAAGAGTAGAGTAGAACTAGAAGTCAGTTTTCTTTGGAGCCTGTCTTACATCTTCTTCTTCTTCCTTTTTTTTTTGGTAGAAAGTTGGTCCCTAGATGCCAAGAATTTTCTTTTGTTTAAAATCATTAATAACTTTTTACAGTGTCTGTGACTCTTTTTTTAAATCTCCATTCTTTACTAATTCAATTCCATTTGTTTACCAGATTATTTCTTATATGACTAGAGTAAAATTTAAAAACTTATTTTCTTTTCTAAAATTTAAATATAAGTACTCTAGAGTTTTGTCATGTCAGATTTACATTTTCTATGTAGTTTACCAACTGCTGATTTATTAATATTTATAATTTAATAATGAATTTGAGGAATGAAATTTATTCTTTTAAACCAGTGGCTACACAAATCTGACCAATGGCTAGCTTATATTTTTTACTTCATACCTTCCCTATTTTCAAATGTATAATTTTATATGCATGACAGGTACAATTTACTATCTCCATCTTTTTTACTCTTACTAGAAAATATGACCCTCTGATTCTCCCTCTCCATCAGCCTCCTGTTTTTTTAGAAGTAAAGGAACTGAATAATTGAAAAGCTTGAGGTATATGCAGCATATTGGAGAACATGATCATATTGTTGCATTAATGACAGATGCTGACATGCCATGTTGAATTAAGCCTACAATTTTTTTCCCTCAGATCCTTCTCATTACTTCTATTCAATAATGTTTAATTTTTTCAATTTGCTTCTTCAGTATTAAGACTGCCCTTAGAAATCAAACTGTTTCCCTTTGGCAAATTAAACACTTGACAGGTGTGTAACTAAGAGGGCAAAAAAGCCATGCCCTGAAGGGATGTGCTATTTAAATATTGTCAAAAATATTAGCAGGTCTGAGAATATAATTGATGTCTCTGTTTAACTCTGCCACATTGTGTATTGTTCTAATGCCAGCTAAAAGGATGCATGCTATTAAACCTGAATAATCTTTAATAGCTCTGGTTCATTTCCTATTGCATGATTCCTGTTTAAGTGAAGAGAAAAAACAAAAAAAAAGAACTGTGACTGTATATCAATGATCTGTCAAATGCAAATTCTCAAGTAGTGTCCTCACTGTCACCTAGTCATCACTGCTAATCACTACAGGGCTTAATGCGTATTCATGACAAAAATCCAGCTATTGTGGGGGAAATAAACACGTTAGCAGTTTAATAATAGAAACTTGTCAGCCTTGAGGATATTGGATTTGCATATTTATTCTATGAAGTTTCTCCAGTCCAGTATAGGTGGATGCTACTTTCTTGATTAATTAATTGCTTTGCCTTAAGAATTGACCAGTGGCACTAAATTAATCTTTTTACCCTGAATTATCTGTAGGAAAACTGAGAATTAAAATGATTAATTTCAATAGAAATTTAGGACCAATACTTAAAAATCGACATTGCTAAGATTATTTTTAAAGCTACGGCAACAGAGAACAATTCCAAGATTGGAGAAATAATGTGGATAACTCAGGCTGCAAAAGCTGCTTAGACAGCAAATAAGCCTCAGCACAGAATATTCAGGAGGTCTCTCCTTGTCAATGACCTTCAGACGTTTTGGAGTGTGGCATTCTATTGTTTTGTTATTGGTGTTTGTTTAATATTTCCAGGGTTCTAGTTCATTTATTTTCCTTCCCAAAAGTGTAGGCTTACACACATATCATCTAGATGCATAATGTATATGCACACAAAATTAAGGCAGATTTTTCTTTGGAAATTTTATGACAACTCTTGAAATAACTATAGAGATGCTGTGTTAACATAGGTTCAGGGTTGAAAATTACTCTTAAATGTTGATTAGAGTAAACTGGTTCACTGAATCCTACAGTGAACAATCTGTTTTTGAAATTTTTTCATGAAATGAGATCTTCATGATATAAAATTTTGGTTTTATATTTCTATGTCAGTTTTCACTAATTACATTTCAAAAAGAATTTGAAGCAACTTCTGATGGCAAAACTTGTTAAATAATGAATGATTAAAATGTAAACCTAAACAAAGACCAAGTAAAAATATCACAGAACTAGATATACCAAGGACCTTGGGTTACTAAAATTGAGTATGTCATTTAATTTGTTTCCCAGAAGCAAAGCAAAACAGAAAAAAAGAAAAAATAAAAATGAGAGACAGACAGAACTGAAGGACAATGTGGGATTCAGTGAACCAGTTTTCCCTTGGCAATGGGTGGGTTATCTCATGGAGGCTCATATTCTCATATTCATTTAATAATCAACCTTTGTTGAACATCTAAATTAATAAAAATACAAAGAATAATCAGATGGAGGTTCTCACTATCTAGAGGGGAAAATAGAACATAGAAAAGAAAACGAAGAAGGTGAATAGTAAAGAAGGAATGAGTAACTTTGACTAGAAGAAAACCTCACAGTGGAGGCAATAGCATGGATAATGGGTCTTGAAAAATGAGTTCTGCAGAGGTAGGGGAAATGATTTCAGGTAGAGAGAGCAGTGTTTACAGGGATACAGAGCAGTTCAAAACTGAGGATTATTTTATGCTCTACCTTCCCAAGGGAAACTTGGCAGTGTCTGGAGTCAGTTCTTACTGTCATGACTGGAAGATGCTGCTGACAGGTAATGGGTAGAGTTCAGGGATGCTGTTAAACATCCTTCAGTGTACAGCATAGCCTCCTACAGCAAAAAAACGATTGGGTTTATAATGTCTGCATTGCTGAGGTTCAGAAACCCCGGTGTGGAGCCCCATGCAGACCTATATTATCAGAGCAGTAGATTATATGAGGGGTATTGGCAGGAGAGGAAACTATGGAGCCAGACTGTGAAGAACCTTTTCAAGTAAGGTG